GGAGATACACACCACCCCATTATCTCTCTCCCCTCGACCGGTACTCACCAAAATTGAACACCATCAACTCCTGAAACACAAACAACCCTGCAAAATTTCCGAAATTTTCGACAAAAAGCACAGTACAGTAGTTAAGCTTCAAACAAGGTGAATAAAATTGTACCATACACACTAACGTCCATACATACAGAGAAAAACCCCGAATTTTCCCCATTTCTCAATGTTTCAAGGTCCCCAAATCCAAAAATGAAAAAAGAAATCTTGGGTTGGAGGTCATTTTTCGATCGATCGCCATAGTTTGCCTCTTATGTATAACAGCCGGGAAAATAAAAAAGAATCGTTTGGCCGTCCCAAAGCTGGGAGGCCCACCAGTGGCCAAGCGGTCTTCGTTCCCTGAACGCCGGGAGTTCGGTCGTGGGTTCCCCCCTCGCTCGGACAGACTGGCCACGTGGAGTTTTCCGGGTTTTCTCCACGCCTGTAACGCCTAAATAGGGGGCCTGTTTCTCTTAAAAAGACCTCCCGGAAGGCATCCCCTAGGCAGATCGCCCAAGTGTTGCGTTGCCATAACTAACCAAAGCTGGGGAATTTATTTTCAATTTTCGTACTAATCCAGAAATTGTCTTTATTGTGCCCGAATCTCGGGACAGTCGAGGGTGGGGAAGCTGAAGATTTTTCTCTGGCCTGTACGAGCTCTGAACGGCCCTGTTGAATCTCGATGGGAGTGCCGAATTTCTCTACGTGTCCACAAGACATCACTGTAGTCTCGGACTTGCATTAGTCACATTTTCTCCAAATGAATCGAACCCATCACGGGACTTCCGTCTCTAGTACATCTCCCACTTTACTTTCGTCATATAAATTTTATTTTCCCCAACCACGTCTTTCTTGTTATTGGATTTTCAATTAGGACATAGAATTAATTTGTATAAAATATTAGGATATAAACATTTATTTTCTTTGTAAATTAGTGCGATTCCGTTATATCACCAATGGTCTTCATGGCAGTTCCGGACCCCAATTCTTTACATTCCTCCGTGAAATGTTTAGTATCTCTGTTGAGAACCAATGGTTTAAGACTTGTTAAATTAATATTTAAATATAAAATTATAATACATTTCTAAATAATAAACTAATATGTTGGATTAAAACCACTCTAATCTGACGTTCTAGCCGAAACTATATGATTGGATGATCTTTAGCGTAAATTCGCGCAGTTTACAACTCAACACAAGAAGTAACTTGTAATTTGCAACGAACTACCCTCGTTGCCCTTGAATCTGAGAATTCTTAGTTTCACAATCCACAGAGAATTCCTAGTTTCAAATACATCAGCAGCAACAACAAAACTTACACCAGACCAAGTTGTAAATACGTTCAATTAAATCGGGTCGTTAAAAAAACACCCTTTTTAAAAAAAATTGATTATCTATGGAAGCTCGGTACCAATCTTTGCTTTTGCATTGATCCGGCCTCTCACCACACATTAATGTTATTCTAAGAAGAGTTTTGAAATATCAATCGGGACTTAAGACAAAATAACAGGCAATAGCGTAGAACACACGCACGCGAAACCGACAGGAGAGTAAAAACCGACACTGTATTATTTGATGAAAATTTTAGATAATTTCTCATTAAAAGTAAGAGTAGAAATATACACTATCATTAAATAGAACATCGATTCACTGGTGCGAAAATCAGATGTTTGTCCTCAGTGACATACACACGTTTTTACAAACACCTACCATTTTTAAAAAATTGTCCAATATTCTATTTTTCTATAACCAAAATGATATTTAAGCACACATTTCGTATCACAGTTACCCGTTTTGTATGGACGAGTGTGGAAATTTCCAAGAAAATTTACCACAGTAGAACAATACCAAAATAAAACTGCAAAAACTTATATATATTATATAATAATTATAATATTTTTTGCTGCGTGTACGTATAGTACACACAATCAAGTGTCCATTCAACACTGTAGACAGGTTCTTGGAAACTGACATTAAATCGAAAAGTGCTGCCAATTCTTAGCAAACATTTCGTCCTCCCGGCAAAGTGGCTAGAGTTTTATAAAAAAAATTGTAAATGTCAATAAGTCCGACCTTACTGGAGATACACACGACCCTCCCCCATTATCTCCCATCCCTTCGACCTTTTAACCATTAAAATTTAATAGCATCAATCCCCTAATACACAAACCTCCCAAAAGCACAGGAGTTATTAAGCTTCAAAGAGGGTGAAAAAAATCGTGCCCCCACACATACACTAACATCTATACATACAGAAATTATCTTCGAAGTTTTTGCATTTCTAGGCATTCAATGTACAAGAATGTAAAAATATGGGGGAATCATTTTTGCCGGATATCCATACTTTCCCTCCGTGTAACAGCAGAGAAAGTAAAAATTATCATAAGGACCCATCGGTGTCAAGCGGTTTCGTTCCCAGAACACCCAAATTTCGGTCGTGGATTCGCGCCTGGCTCGGACAGGATGGCCGCGTGGAGTTTTCCGGGTTTTCTCCACGTCCGTAACGCCCGAATAGGGACCAGTTACCCTTTAAAAAAAAAAAAAGACCTTCCGGAAGGCATCTCCCTTAGAACTTTTAAAGGTAAATTCGGGAAAATTTCACGGGAAACTACTTTTTTCCTTCGTTTGGTATGTAATTTGCATAGTGCGCACGTTGAGCATGACCCTGTTGGCTGTGGGCGCGAGCTATCATACGGCTGTCGACTGGGAAAACTTCATACGACACGTTATGATGATTTCCTTGTATTAATTTCTCTCAAATGAAAGTTGGTGGACCCGGAAAGACTGATGAAACTGTTGTGAATAAAAGGAAAAACGAAAAAAAGGGAGGATTTTGAAAGGAACAGGGTGGGTTGTTGATGGAATTGTGCCTTCTGTTGTGCCAGATACTGCGCCTTCTGCCCCAAAAGCAATCCCCATGAAATCTGAAAATCCAAAGAGGAAGA